TATCACATAATAAATAAAATAAGGTCCGGGGCAATAAAGTCTTTTCTATGCTTAAAATATAATTATTTTATTTTAATTGGGTCATAAAGTAAATACCATAACATTAATTAGGTGCTAAGGAGTAATTAAGGGAAACTAAATTAAAAATTTATGGAAAAGGAACCAGTCGACGTGTATTCATTACACGTCAACTAGTTTGGGTCATGCACAGTAACATCACTCACTGCCAGGATACCGGTCGATGTGTGGGGATGTTCATGCCGACTGATTGGAGACGTGTACAGTGAAAATGTTCACTGCCAAGATATCGGTCGACGTGTGGGAAACTACACGTCGACTGGTTCAGGTTATTCGTTCGACGTATGGGGCTTTACGTCGCCTGGTTCTGGGTTATCCATACTCAATTACCCACTATCCAAAGAAAATCAGAATACACCACATTTTGTAACCAACCACCCACGCCATTACACTCACGTACATATTTAAATACATTTCAACACCTACAATAACAACAACCACAGTGTTAACATAATTTACCACACGTTAGTTAAAATACACTAAAGGATTTAGTGTAATTAAAAGTTAATTACATTTCCCCCAATGGCCATATACAAAATGGACCTAAATACATTACATGTTGCAAATAATACATTTTGAATCAATATTTTACAAAATTAGGCCCAATTACAAAAGGTAGCAAAATGAAACATTTTTCTACTCCAGCTAAGGCAAGGGTGGATTGTCGTCCGCTATTTCTTTTCCGTATCCTGAAAAATGTTAAATAATAGGGATGAGCAATCGCCCAGTAGGTGGTACCTAAGACACACCTCTTGTGTCCTCGTGAATCCAAACAAAAGAATAGACCAATGGAGAAGGGGGTCATGATATGTCGGGAAAATACAACATGACATCCAATTTCAACATAAATAATATAATGCTATGGGATGCAATGCATGCCGATGTCGCTTCCCATTTTCAACATTCAAAATCCATCACTTTCAAATTGTTAATATAACCCGCCCTTTGGTGACCCCGCAGCTACACGAGAGAAGGATTGGCTAGTGTCCCTGACCCTTGGTACCCCCGCGGCGTCATTTTGGGCCCAACTAGCTCAACCACTCTAGGGTAATCTCCCTAGTTCCCTCTAGGCTATATTAACACTCAGACCCTTTAGTACCCTGTGGCGACCGGGTTTTCATAAAACACTTTAATCAAAACTTCTTCCCCAAAATTTTCATTTCTTTTATTTCAAAACCATTTTCCCATTTCTTCCCAATGCTATGCATGAATGCTTCATGCCATATGAATATTCATCATTTTACTACTAATTCAAATTGAAGCTTTATAACATACTACATAAGAATTTCTAAGGAAATTACCACATCTTTCATTTAATCATAAACTAGGATGGTAAGCATAGACAACTTGAATTTAATCCATACAAGTAAGTAATTGCAAGTATCATCAAATAAACACATAGCCACATACTCCATCTAAAACAAATTATTCATCTTGGAAGAAAATCAACATAATTAACATGCTAGTCAACAAATCAAGGAGGAAATTCACAAAAGAACAAGAAGCTCTATGGATTAGAAACCCCTACCTCAAGCTAGATGAAAATTCCCCAATTTAAACCCTAAGTTTTGAAAATCCTAGGATGCACCAAAGCTAAAATTGCTTACATCAATTCGAAGGTCTCGCTGTGCTCTCCGTTTTGCAGCAAACGGCACCCCAAAATTCCAAGAATTGAGGAAGTAATCAAACCTTGAAGTTTAAAATCAAAAGAAAAAGAAAAAGGGAAGAACAAGAGAATGAGAGAGAGACTTACGGGTGAGAGAGAGAATAGAGACCAATTGTGGTCTCTAAGTCACTAAGTGTGTGAGTGGTGGGTCCCACCACTTAAGAATTTCTTTTTGATTTATTTTCCTTCTAATTTCTTCACCACAATATATATATACATGCATACAACTATACACATACCACATAAAACACATAAAATAAAATATATGAGATGCAAATGGACCCAACTAAAATCCCCGGGCTCAACAATACCGGAAGCGGGTCCCACACAGGATCGTTTTTCGATTCGAAAATAAAAAAATGCAAAAATGACAACCTTGGTATTTCAAAAAGTCCTGAACTCAATGAAATGTCCCAACCAACTTTCGGACACAATCGGCACACCCCACAGTGTCCAGCATGCAAAACGAGAAAAGACAAAATGCCCTTGCATGGATGAAAATTTTCAAAAATTGGAAAATGACGAAAATTGGACACGTTACAGAATTAAATTGACATGAATCTGATCAAAGATTTGTCATTTAAATTCGTTTGCATCAAACAAAGAATAAATTGTAAATAACATAATTAAGCATTGCAAAAAGAATTATAAGTTATTGGAACTCATATTCTTTGAATGAAAATTGCCATTTGGACAAAATAATTGAAGATAAAGATGACATTGAGTCATTTGATAAATAAATTTTGATTCATGTTTTGTGGGTGGTGCTGGACAAATTGGAATAGGATTACAATACTTTTATTTACGGAAATTTTAAATCAACTATTCTAAATTTATTTCTTGCTAAAATATCTCTCATTCCTTAATTTTCTTTATTTTGTTATTCAAACTAAGTCAAACCCAGTGTTCTTTTGCTCTTCGTCTCGTTTTGCTTTTTGCTTCAGTAGAGAAGTCCTTGCCGAAAACTCTCTCTCTAATCTAGTCAAATGTGAGTTGCTAAAATATTGCTGAATAGTTGCTAATTTCCAGCAACTTCCTTTCAGCCGAATTTCCCTTAAAATGGCCCAATGGTCATTTATAGCTTTTACCCATATACTTACGTGGCTGCCCCCTTCTTTTGAAATTCCTATCTCTAAGTCCTTCCTTTTTTAATTGATGACCATATTTGAATCGATTCGAATTTCTGTAAATATATCTAGCAACAACCTTATTGATAAGGTGGCTGAGATATATTTCCTAAATTTGCTCCCTTTGTCTCTCTGTTGTCCGACTCTCCTTGGAACCATGCTGAACACTAATCGGCTCCTCACCTGTCCATGTCACCACTGAAGTAGTTGCCAAGTTTTGGTGCCAACAGAATGTTAAAAAAAAAATTGGTTTTAGGGATGGAAAATACTCTTAAGATAAAAGTGTACCATACGACGGTTTAAAGTGAGGTTTTACCAAAAGTGTTTTTGAGGGAGATTTTGAGACACGGAGTTCTTAAGAAAAATGTCTCTTTCGAGGGTTTTGAGAGTTAAAAGTATATTATTCGATGAGTGAAATGTTTTAAAATCAACCATCTGAGGATAAAAAAATGAGTTTAAAATGAGAATGAGATTTAGTTAAAAGAAATCAATTGGGGAACGAGGGAAAAAGAACATTTAAGGATCCTACGGGATTTGGGCGTTCCGACAGCATGAAAAATGAGTCTTGAGCATTAATGTGTGTATATTTATTTAGAAAGTGATTTCTATGGGGGTGATAAATTTGAACAAGAGCTAGTTATTTATTGCATGTAAAAATGTCAATTGAGATGATACAAGAGTGTCGTTCACCATAATGAGTATGCTTGTGTGTGAAAGAAATTGCATGTGCACATTGTTGTATTTTGTCAAAACGTCAATACTGCGTCCCTCAATGATGAATCTTTGTATTTTTATTTTTTTTTTGTTTTTTTTTTGTACTGTACCCTAATATATTACTAATAGAGGATTGCCGGCCATTGCAACTCTTTTGTGAAATTCACATCATCCAACGCCTTTGCATCAGTGCCAACATAATTCAGACTAATAACTTGCTGATGTACATTCTAATATTGATTTCTCCATATGTACATTCTATTAGGTTTGCACAAATCATACTGCAGACAGAAATAAAGCAATATAAATTTTTTTTTTTTTTTTTTTTTTTTTTTTTTTTTTTTTTTTTACATATAAGTAACTTGTAATTTTGTTTGGTGTATGACCAAAAAATAAATAAATTCATGATTACAACCGTTATTATTTCATAAAAACTTAAAACAAATTTAAAACATAATTTTACTGTTTCTTAGTTTTCTCCGATATCACACCACTAAAAGTGATTCCTCAACTAATAACATTCGCCCCTTTTATCCTTGATATCTTCATACTAACTGCAATTTTTTATTTTTTTATTTTTTTATTTTTCTCCGGTAACATTCTAACTGCATTGAAATGCCAAAATTTGCATTTTTATTAGATTAGGTTGTCCAACGTTAGTCCCTACGTCAATTCATCACAAATCCATTCAGATTTAACGGAATTTTCTCAATCGATACCCAAATGTTGCCTAAAGAAAGACGTGACAATTTGTATTAATGGGTTTTGTTCATATTGTGTCGAGATCAAGGGCATTAACGACTGTGTCAATATAAATATGTTTTGTTTATTATTTGTGAACAACAAAATATGTAACATATTGTGTAACAACTTAAAAGTTTCTGACAGCAAATGGTTGTATACAACATTCTCATCACAACGTTGTTATACCCAGAATTCAATAGAGGTAGCAATAATGTTTTGATAATTATAAACCCAATGAACTTACGTAAACATCCACAAAAGAAAAATGCCTCAAACCATTCATGCAGAAGGAACAATGAGACAAGCTAGTAGACTAGACACATTTTTGTTTCAAGTAAGAAGAAACCATGTATCTTTTTGTTTGTATCTAAGTTAAGTATGTATCATATATATATATATATATATATATATATATATATATATATTAACTTCAACTATACAAAAAAAACCAATTCCAGATCCGGAGTAACAGAAACGCCATATGTTAAATGATGCAAATTTTCTAATTTCCCCCATACAACTGCATTTCTGAAGTGGCCATCGTCAACCAAAAGTTGAAGGTAAAACTTACCTCCATCAGTGACCAAATATAATAAATAAGGTAGAGAGAAGACAGTTTGAGACGTGCACCAAGCAACAAACTGCACCAAACTTTCAGAGGGTGGTTAATCATAAACGGTGACACAGGAGATCTAGGGTTACTGTACAGTTAAAATGAAGGCTTGAAGCAGGCTTTGTGCTACCATGGTTTGCTCGGCCGTCCCAGATATGATGACTTTCCCCTCACTAGCACCAGGACACAGATCTTGCACTACGACTGTTGCTCCTGAAATCTGATCCATATTGCAAAAATGTAAATGAAATTACTATTCAATGAACCAAACGGAATTTATAAAGAACAGTGAATTTGCTATTTAAGCTTCCCAAAAAATAAAATTGCTACTGATACATTTATATAGATCCATCCATGAACATGCAACAACTAACATGCAGAGACAAGCATTTATAGGCAAAATGAACCCATCCTATCAAGAATAGCTTGCAGTGGGGAAAAAAATATATATATATATATATATATATATATAGCTAGGAATCAGTGATTTGCCTTGCACCAAAAGCTGTATATGTTGCACAGTCAATGTGTATTTACATGCACAATTATCTATATACGGAAATATTTGTATAAATTGACATTGGTTAAGCCTTTAAGACTTGACATTTAAACCATTGTCCAAACCCCAAAAAACTAAACTGGCACAAAAGCAAACTCAACAAAGGTTTATTTTATTTATTGACATTTGCTAATTGTCTTAAAATGAAAAAACACTAGGTCCTTTTTTCTCACAAAAAACATCATAAATCAGACAACCATCATTTTAAATTTTCAACTCTTTTTTCTTGTCAATTTCATTACAACTTTTTATTCTTTTAAGAAACAATTAATTCCCAACCTACTCAAGTCACAAATTTCACAGAAAAATGACCGGGCTTCCAATTGGCAAGTTAAAATCATAGCAGAATGACATTGGTCATGATTAATGATGATTAACTGCTGTTAAACAATTTTCTTTTTCTTTAGGTGTTCAGTGGGTTTTACCTGTTTTACTTTAGCCAGATTGCTACCATCCTCGCCACAAACGGAGTTGAAAACATGTTCAGGAAACACAACTTCCACAACTCTATTTGTCACAACAGCAAGTCTGACACTGTGCAAAACAACTGGAAGAGTCAAAAGCGGATATATATATATATATATATATATATATATATAGTAGCTTTCTTGAATTAATTATAAAACATAACTGCCATTTCAAGGTGATTGTTAACATATTACTACATCAGTAAGTATCATAGGTGCCATAATTCGGAAGTATGAAGAAACACAGGCCAGATCAGTGTCATCATAATTATTTTTATTATTTTTTACAATAACAATATCATTATTAGATGCTACGAAATCTTTAAACTTCTCTTAATTGATGGGGCAGACTGTAAAAGAGAATATGGTTGAGCACCCCAGCCCATTGTGAGAAATCTAGGGACTCTGACCCAAGGCTCTAATACATAAGAGTACACTATTGCCCAATTAAACCTAGGGGGATGGGGTGTTTGAATAGGTCTTTTGCAAACTTTGATAATTTTTACTCGACTCAAATTTAACAATCAACTGAAGTTCAATTATCAATCTATAAGCATGTCATAAATTAGAGGGCGGGACTTGGGGCAATAGCAAGGTTGCTCCACATGGGTTCAAATAAAGCAAACTGTTTTTAGGGGCTTATTTGTTATTACTTATATAATGTTGGGGCTTATGTGTAATTTCTGAAACTTGTTATTATAAATAGAATGTGATGGAAGGATGAAAGTATTCTTTTCATTCTTTCTCTCGTTCCCCATCTCTTTCTCTTTTTCTCTCATCCACTTTCTTCTCTTTTTCTTCTTTTTTATAACTTATTTTTGATTTGATTATATCTTAAAATCAACATGGTATTGGTTTGTAAAGCTCTAGGTTTGTAGTTGAAGCCTTAGGGCAAGTTTGTGTAAACCCTAGTGGGTGCGAAGGGTTTTGAAGAGATTCCAAGATGGGATTTGTTTGCAAGGAAGTAGTGTTAATTACTTACTTTTTATTATTATTATTATTTATCTATTGCAGTCTCGATCGGTGGTTTTTTTGTATTCGCGGGATTCTGCAACAACGGCTTTTTCTTTGTCGTTCGCGATTCTGTTATGGTCTACTTTGTTGCTTTCTAGAGTTTATGTGGTGACTGTGTGGTCGCTTTTTTTAAGCATCTCAGAAGACGCTAATCTTTTTAGTTGAAGTTTGTGTGTTAGAGAGATGGTTCTCTACGTATTTTGTTACTGTTTTTGTTTCTGAGAATTGTATACCCAAAAATTGTTTGATAAAATGTCTGGCTCAAAGGTGACTTCAAAAGAAGTTGAGTCTTCTCCTAGTCTGACTCCAATTTTGGGAGGTAGTAGTGATCACCATCCAGGCCTTTGTATTACAACTGTTAGGCTGGATGAGACAAACTATATGGAGTGGGCTCAATATGCTCGTATGCATATCACTGGTCGTAGGATGATCGATCATATCTAAGGGATTGTCTTGTATCCCTCTAAGAGCGATCCTGAATTCAAAGAGTGGACTGCAAATAATGCACTAGTTATGACGCGGTTGCAGACCATGCAACCATAGATCAGACAAGGGTTTCTGTTTGTAAAAACAGCTAAAGAGCTATGGATAGCTGTGGAAGAGACGTATTCCTCGGTTTGGAATTTTACAAAACTGTATGAACTCCAACAACAAATTTCAAGATTCAAGCAGGAAGACCAAACTTTTGCTACATATTATCACACTCTACGTGGTAAATGGGAAGAGTTAGATCACTACCAGGACTGCATACCTGTGTGTGCAGCTGATGTTAAAGCATTTCATGCTATGATAGAAAGGAATCGAATCTGAGTTCTTGGGTGGTTTGCATCCGAGATACGAGCATGCCAGGGTACAAGCCCCTACTTCTGTTAGAGATGTGTTTTCGTACATGCCAGGGTACAAGATACGAGCAGCCCCTACTTCTGTTAGAGATGTGTTTTCGTATATCCAGGCTAAGGAGAGTAGAATGAGGCTATGTCTGCACCTGTATACACTAAGCCTCAGCCAGAAGTACAATTTTCTGAGAGGTCTACTCTTGCCACACAACAATGGAATAAGCCCTCCAAAAGGAGGGAAACAGAATAACAAAAGCAAGTTGAGGTGTGATCAATGTGGGCGTACGCGCCACATTAGGGAAACATGCTGGAATCTACATGGTCGCCCTACTCCAGCTCCTGTTAATACGAATGCTAGGCCAAGGCCTGGTCCATTTAGGGGGTTATCTACGGCACATACTGTAGAGCATGAGACTGCTTCTACTGGTCATGCCTCCTCAGGGCCACCGAGTTCTTTGTCCGGGACTGAGCTTGATGCTTTCCAACATCTACTAGCACAACATTCCTCCGTTTCCACCTCTAACTTCGCTCAGACAGGTACATTTCATTCGGCATATCAGGTTTCCATATTATCTGGTGGACCACCCTAGATTATTGATTGAGGAGCCACTGATCACATGACTAGTATGGCATCTGATTTTTCTTCGTCCAGTTTATGTTCTGGTAAGGATAAGGTTAAAGTGGCTGATGGCACCTTCACCTCCATTGCGGGGAAGGGCACTGTTTCTGCCTCTCCTAATCTTACCTTATCCTCTGTTCTTCATGTCCCAAAGTTTACCAATAACCTCCTTTCTGTCAGTCACATTACGAAAGGCTTGAATTGTAGTGTAACCTCTTTTCCATCTTACTGTGTGTTTCAGGACTTGGACATGAGGAGGACGATTGAAAGTGGACGTGAGGACAACGGCTTGTATTTGCTGAACACGAGGCCAACTTCTTATTATGTTGCAAATCAATCTAGTGTTAGGAATAGTAATGTCAATAAAGATCTGTTAATGCGATGCCATAATAGACTAGGTCATTTAGCTCTTCCTGTTTTGAAGCATATGCTTCCCCAGTTTGCTTTTGTTGAATCTTTTGAGTTAAATTGTGAAACATGCGTTCTTGCCAAATAATGTCGTGATAAAAATACAAATACAGCTCCTTTGCAGCTTGTTCATCCTAATGTGTGGGGTCTTGAATCTACTACTTCGTTACTTGGTTTTCGTTACTTTGTTGTGTTGTTGATGACTTTAGTCGATATACTTGGCTTTATCGTATGAAAACCAAAGCTGAAGTTTATTCTATTTTTAAAACCTTTAATAGGATGGTATGTACTCAATTTAGTTGTCCCCTCAAAATCCTTCGATCTGATAATGAAGGAGAGTTTATGTATGGTGGTCTTGTCTCCTTTTTTGTTGATAACAATATTGTCCATCAAACCTCTTGTGTTGATACACCACAACAAAACGATGTAGCTGAAAGAAAACACCGTCATATTACGGAGGTGACCCGTTCTCTTCTAATTGGGATGGGAGTGCCTAAAAGTTATTGGGTTGATGCAACCTTGACAACTACATACCTTATCAATCACATGCCTTCTAAGGTTCTTGGCTATCAATCCCCCTTCTCTATCTTACACCATGACACTGCCTTGTTTACTGTCCCTCCGAAAGTGTTTGGTTGTGTTTGTTATGTTCATATTCATCATCGCAAGGACAAAATGGACCCTAAGGCAATCCGATGTGTCTTTCTTGGATACTCCGCCACTCAAAAAGGGTATCGGTGTTATAACCCTACCACTCGTCGTCGCTTTGTCTCCATGGATGTTACATTCTTTGAGTCTATTCCTTTTTTTTCCATTGATCGAGATTCTCTACAGGGGGAGACTACTATACGGGTAGAGAATCCATTGTCCATTCAGAGGGAATGCCCCCTTCCTTTACCTGTTCCCATTCAGGGGGAGCTTCTTACTAAGGTGCCTATGTCTAGTCCTCCTAATACTAATGATTTGCAACAGGGAAAGCAGCCAATTGTCTGCACTAGGAGGGCAAAACAAGTTATTGACTCACCCCAGGACCAAGAAGTCTCCCTCGATCCAGGTAATTCCTTAGTTGACATTGATACTCCTGATTCTTTTCCCAATAGCATTCTTGTTGATCTTGATGTCCCTATTGCCTATCGTAAGGGTGTTCGTAGTTGTACAAAGCATCCCATATCTCAGTTTGTATCCTATGATGCCTTTTCTCCAACATATCGTGCTTTCACTTTGTGTATCTCCTCTGTATCTGTTCCTTCTAGTGTTTCAGATGCTCTCAGTCAAACTCCATGCAAGAAAGCTATACTTGAAGAAATGAAGGCCCTTGAGAAGAATGGTACTTAAGATATTGTTCCATTACCTAGGGGTAAGAAACCAGTAGGATGCAAATGGGTCTACACAATAAAGTATCATGCAAACGGAACAATTGAAAAATATAAAGCTCGGTTAGTTGCAAAGGGCTTTACTCAAACCTATGGAATTGATTATCTGGAAACATTTGCTCTAATTGCCAAGATGAACTCTATACGTGTTCTTCTTTCTTTGGCAGCTAATTTGAATTGGCCCTTACATCAACTGGATGTAAAGAATGCTTTCCTTCATGGTGACTTAGAGGAAGAGGTGTATATGACTATGCCATAAGGGTTTAAGCTTGTTAATGGTCAGAATTTAGTGTGCAAGCTAAATAAAGCTTTGTATGGGTTAAAGCAGTCGCCACGGGCTTGGTTTGAAAGGTTCAACACTACTATGAAAAGAGTAGGATACACACAGAGTCAAGTAGATCATACTTTCTTCATCAAGAAGCACCAGGGCTGCACCACTGCCCTTATTGTATATGTTGATGATATTGTTATCACTGGAAATGATCCAGAAGAAATTCGTCGAATGAAGTCATTATTGGGGATAGAGTTCGAGGTTAAAGACCTCAAATCATTGAGATACTTGCTTGGCATCGAGGTGTGCAGATTGAAGAAAGGGGTTTTCATTTCTCAACAGAAGTATGTGTTAGATTTGTTGGCTGAAACAGGCAGGCTTGGAGCTAGACCGATTGATATTCCCATTAAGCAAAACCATAAGCTTAATGATGTAGATGAAGATCCATTAGATGATGTGGGAAGATTTCAGCGATTGGTTGGAAGACTGATTTACTTATCTCTTACATGCCCGGATATTGCCTACGCTGTTAGTGTGATTAGTCAGTTTATGCACACTCCACGTACACCTCACCATGAGGCAGCTCATCATGTTCTTCACTACCTCAAGGGTTCACCTGGTAAGGGGATATTGTTGGCCACTTGCGTGTTGAAGCCTATACTGATGCTGATTGGGCAGGGTCTATGACAGATCAACAATCTACTTCAAGATATAGCACATTTGTTGGAGGTAATCTTGTTTCATAGCGAAGCAAGAAACAATCTGTAGTAGCTAGATCTAATGCAGAGGCTGAGTTTAGATCCATGGCACATGGAGTTTCTGAGTTTTTATGGCTACGTACGATGTTGGGTGAGTTGGGTTATCCTGTTCGCGAGTCAATGAAGTTATATTGTGACAACAAGGCTACTATTAGCATTGCCCACAATCTAGTTCAACATGACAGGACAACAGCACATTGAAGTCGATCGACACTTCATCAAGAAAAAGCTTCGTCTTGGACTGATTTGTACTCCATACGTCAATACACATGATCAGGTTGCTGATGTTTTGACTAAGGGTGTGAGCAAGACTTGCTTGCAAAATATGTTAGTCAAGCTAGGCATGATAGATGTCGTTGCGCCAGCTTGAGGGGGAGTGTTATCAGGGACTTATTTGTCATTACTTATATAATGTTGGGGGTTATGTGTAATTTCTGAAACTTGTTATTATAAATAGAATGTGGTGGAATGATGAAAGTATTCTTTTCATTCTTTCTTTCTCTCTTTCCCCATCTCTTTCTCTTTTTCTCTAATCCGTTGTCTTCTCTTTTTCTTCTTCTTCTTCTTCTTCATCACTTACTTTTGATTTGATTATATTTTAAAGTCAACAGAAAGCACCTCTACGCACCCGGAGGTAAGGAAGCGTACCCCTAGATCCCGCAATGGCGATAGCCTCTTGCTCTAGGCTAGCCCTTTTAAGCATATAATAAATTAATATTACATAAAGCGCTCAAATATAAGGAATAAACCATCAACATGAATGAACACCAAATGGAAAAAATCACAGATGGTCCACGAAAATCCAAATGGAAAAAAAAAAAAAATTCACAGATGGTAGTCTAGGAAAATCCGATCCACTATGAGAGATTATTCTTTTGCACACTACAATAATTTTTGCTTAATTTCGGTTTTAACAATCAACTGAAGTTCAATTATCAATCTATAAGCATGTAATAGCGGGAGCTTCGTGCACTGAGCTAGCACTTTTAAGCATGTAATAAATTAATAATAGGCAAAGTGCTCAAATATAAGGCATAAAACATCCACGCGCATGAACACCAAATGGACAAAATCACAGATGGTCCACGAAAATCCAATCCACTATGAGAGAGATTAGGTCTTTTGCACATTTCGATAATTTTTACTTAATTTCAATTTTAACAAGCAATTGAACTTCAATTATCAACCTATAAGCATTAAATAAATTAGAGGGCGAGCCTTGGTCCAAGAGTAACGTTACTCCATTGTGACTTGGAGTTCATGGGTTCGAATTAAGGTAACAGCGTCTCCGCACCCGGAGGTAAGGCAGTGCACATCTGACACTCCCCTCGATCCTATCGTGCACTTGGCTAGCCCTTTTAAAGCATGTAAGAAATTAACAATAGGCAAAGTGCTCAAATAAAAGGCATAAAACATCTTTGCACATCAACAACCAATGGAAAAAAAATCACAAATGGTCCAGGAAAATCCGATCCACTATGAGAAAGATTAACATTAGGTTAACAGTTACCAAAATTCTTAGAATCCCTAATTAACTCTCGACTCAAAGCATAGTTGTTAAAGGTGCGCCTAGGCTCCAAAAAAGCCCCAAGCTCGTTAAGGCTCAGCTAGAGCGCCTCAACCCACTACAGACTAGGCCCCTTCAATCAGGCTCACATAAAGCCCCTAGGCTCACGCTTTTTAGTAGGCTCCAGACTCAAAAAAGGCGTGCCTTGTATCTTTTAATAATTTATTCGTATCATTTTCTTTTTTACTTAATGACTACTAAATGAAAAGGTTCTATATTATTTATCGTATTGTTTAACCTTATGAAATATTTCACAAAATTCATAAATTTACAGTTCACTACTAACATTAACTGCAATTATTGATTGATTATGAATATATATAATAATATATGTTTAAATATGCATTATTATATACACGCGCCATACTTCGATCGGGCTCGCGCCTTATACTGCACCTTGCACTTAGGCTCTAGAAGGCCTTTGGCGCCTTAGTGCACCTCGAGCCTTTAACAACTATGACTCAAAGTGCTCCACCAAACTCACACTCTAGTCTCCAAGCGCACAGTTCAATCTGTCAACAGATCTGCTCCTCACCTATCAGGTGATCACCAAATATGTCAAAAATAAAGTAAAAATGAGGTATTTTTGTAATCCTTAAAGCCCCCAGATTCTAAACAAGTGTAGCAAGACTAAACCAGAGTCTCATTTAAATGCCATCATAACACAACAATTTCATTTCAAATCCTATGTAAAACACAATGAAATGATTTAATTTATGAGTGATGTCCAAAACATCATTAAAACTAACAGATCAGCAATTCAGTGGAAGTGCGTTTCTCCCATATACGGAAATATTATACAAACCAGTTTTGCTGGAGAACTGGTTCTTGTTATCATCATTAACATTGCGGGATATGACTGAACATCACCGCAAGTTTGGCATATGAGTGCCTATACAACCTACCCAATAATTGTGTTAACATGAATTTTCAATAAATCCTTGTGAAGAATGCACTGACCTTCTGTGCTCAATCCTGCCCCTGGAAGTTGTGGGGCCTCTTTCACTATCTGCATAGGCTGTTTTATTCCCACTGCTCTTAATCTGCAATTATAACCACCCTAAATACTGTACTACTCGGGCTGATCTAAGTATTTATGGATAAAAAGACCAAATACAAGGACTTCAAACTAAGTGGAAGGAAATTTTACCTGCGTCGACAAAAACTTTGTTGAAGGAGGACAAGTTAAATTGTGCAGAACTCCAGGGTGGCCCATTCGCTGTGTCAAAGCCCTCTTGTCATCAAAAGGAGCAAGTCCAGATGGGTGGTCCAATCCAGAAGAGGTATTCTCCTCCCCTTTTCCATTGGGACTCAAATCAGAGATTGCAGAGTTAGAATCATCCCTGGCTCCAGCTCCATCAAACACCTTACTGGAAAAAAGATTATTCCTCAATCTAGCAGTAACTTGAAAGATAGCACTTCTTACATTCCCAAACTCACCAGTAATCTGTAGAATAGAACATTCCCTTTTTCAGTATAAATTTGGCTAGCAGCTGCATCAAGAATTTGCTACCATTAAAGTTGAACAAAACTAAAATTTTCTTTAGCAGCTGCCCAAAAAAATCCTATTTCAATCTCTATTCAACTAAGGTTCTAGATGAAATTAAAAAGAAAGACATCGTTTCAAAGATGCATGGGACACTGTAAATTTGAAGAAACTTTCAAATTTCTTTGAAATTTTGAATTGAATGTATACAATATTTTAAAATTAGAAAATTCTGATTCAAAATTCATTTGTTGAACAATAGAACTTGTCTCTCTATCAATCACTAGTCTCTATACTAATCACTAAACACTAACAGTGGAAAGAAAATACATAAGAATTTCCTATTTTTAAAATGCTGATATTATCATGAGGCATAAGTTACATATACAAAAAAAGATCATATCACGAGCCATACAGAATGAGTAAAGTCCAACAATAACCAAGGATGCACAAATAATTTATCAATGATCAAGAATTAAGATTCAAGACATTTTATTAACTGGGTCAGAGAGAAAATACAGATAACTCGAGAAGTGGAAACTACTTACTTTTCAAAATATATTGCATTATCAAAAACCACTTATAAAATTGGTAAAACATACATACAGAATAAGAAAACCATTACTAAAATCAAAGTTATTTTTACACTAAAAAGATTTATCATGAAATTTTTATTTTAAAAAAAATATATAGATTTGATTAACATTTGTCAACATAGCAATGTTATTACAAGCACCTGTACCACTTGGTCATATTCTGCAGCACAATTTGGAACCAGGTCCCCTTCCACTATTTGTATTTGAACACCAGATACGGTACTTATATCTGAAGCAACTCTCCCTTCATCAATCAGACAACGGACTTGGTTTGAAGCAATTAGAAGCCTCGCACTTACATGTTCCCCTTCACTCAAGCCTGATACAAGACCCAGTTCACTGCTAACCTCCATAATTCTAGCGAAAACACGAATAGTAGCAATTTGTGCAGGGAAATAAAATGGTTCTGGTTTCTGCAGCAGGTTAAATCAACCACCCGTCAACAAAGAATACATCATATTAATGGGGTGCATTTGTTAGGAAGAACTCAAGTACAATAAAATGCAGAAGAATTTCAACTGAAAACTGGCACTTGCAAATAAATGTATGACTACATTGGCAGCAGAGCAAACCTCCAACCCGGAAATAGTGACAACGCGTTCCTCGCACCCGGCTACAGGAGGTGCAAATTTTATAGAAGCACCAGTTTCGTTCTGTAAAGCTCTGATTATGGTACCACGCTGGCCAATCACACCCCCAGCTGCAGTAGTAGAACAGAGCAGTCTAAACACAACATTTTGTTGAGTACTTTCTTCATTTGGGCTAGGGATTCTGCTAGTGTCTGCTGATAATGAATGGTCAGTTGAAGAATGGTCAGTAAAATTGCCGGGAATTTGAGGCAGAGAAGGACTACGGTGGGGAGGAAACTCTGTCTGTCGATCAGGAAAGTCTCCAAATGAAGATGTGTCAGTTAGTGGCTGGAAATCTTGAAGACAGCCGGAAACAGCAACAAGTGCCTTCTTGACAGCCAAAATATCACCCTTTATCTGCAACAAAATTAATAAACATTCTCAGATGTGAAAAAGGAAGAAAATGTTGTCTTCTAATTAAGTACAACTAACCCATTGGCTGCATCGAAAATGATTTTCTGATTTCATTATACAAGACCAGATAGAAGAGTGAATCATGCCATGGGCTTTTGCTCTTTCAAATTGCATCCCATATCAATTCCACATGTAAGTGACCAGTACATGGTGCCACATCTACATGAAGATGAATCACATTAACAAACTTCACCAAGCTAACGTGAAAATCAAGACAAAGTAACAAGCCTCTAGGATTTTACTTGGCCCCCTCAACCCATGTAGCCGAGAGCAAGCACTTACTTCGAATCCACTAAACCGAAAATCACAATCCCTCTCTGTTCCACACTAACACAATGTTACTTAGCATAACCAAGTACAAACGCAATCTAACTCACTCGAATCATTTTCAGTGTTAACTCAAGCACAATTCTTAATATTCACTATATATATATATATATCCAGTAAAACCATGGTCAAAATCCCCCAATTTGCCTAGGTGTATGAACATCTATTCTAGTAGCAACCATTAATTTAGAAATTGAATATTCCAGAAGATAATCAACATACCAATAAGGAAAGAGAGAAAATAACCAAAAAGGCTACAAATTATATTGTAAACTGCTGAAGAACATGTATTAAATAACATATTAAACTTTGCTGTTTGTTTGCATCCTGCAAAGGAATGAGAAAATGTACATGAAAATGCTTAAAGATGGAAACCAGATAACTTTACCGACAAACTGAACACAAATTCTCACCTGAATCAACCCATCTGCCCGAGAAACACAAGCCGGTAACTGCTCCGCCGGAATAACCCATATTTTGGCGCCAGTATTTCTCCGAATCTCTTCCACAATGCTCCCTCTTCTCCCTATAACCGCACCAATCTGACCCACCACCGCAACCAATCTGCAAACAATGACACTTTCTTTAGCCCCTTCCACCTCCAAACCCCTCTCCAAAACCCTAACCAGAGCCTCCTGAGCCTGCGATACTTCGCACTCCTCCTCGCCCAGTGTGATCTTCTTGTAAATTGCCGGATAGCCGATGATGTTGATTACACGCTCCTGGCAACTGGATATCGTACGTTCCACTTTAATTTTCGCGCCGGTGTCGTATTCCAACTGTTTGATGATTTTCCCGGAGCTCCCAATCACGCCGCCGATGGTCTTGACGTGGCAGAGCAGGCGGAGGCGGACTTGGCCTGAGTAGAGTTTGATGGGTGGCCGAAGGGGTTTAGCGCCAGCTTGATGGCTCGCGTCGCGGTGGGGCCGGCGGACACAGCTGCTCTGGTCGGTTGGGTCTTGCATTTTTGTCGGTGAAGAGAGAGACATGGAGCTTCTATAATCCCTTTCTCTCTCCAAAACTCTCTCTCTACCCGAATCGATGGTAATCGAGATGTGAAAATGAGGATTATTCATTGATTGCTTTTGTCTCTGCAACTTTTTTCTCCCACAGTACGATTGATGTGTTGAGCAAGAAACAGCTCAACCCAAACAGGAAAGAAGCAGAGAGCTTTTAATAAAGAGCGTAGAGAATACGCTAAACCCAGCTTAACGACAAAGATACTTTTCAATATTGGTAGTAAATTACACTCACATCCCTGACAAATACTAGGATTTAATTAAATCAACCACTTAACTACTTATTTCATTTACAAAATTAAAAAATTTTGACAGTGTCATATTAGAGGGACTAGATTGAGGCACAAGGATTCTATATAATTTTGGATTTTTTTTTGCATGGTATTTAGTGGGTGAGATTGAATAATTGTTAGTGGATCTCATTTATCAATTTAATTTCATCCACTAAATTTTGTACATGAGAGATAATTGGCGTTGGATTTATTCTGAACAGAATTTAGTAAGTGAGTTGAATAATCACTAGTGGATCTCATTTATCAATTCAATCTCACCCACTAAATTTTGTACACGAGAGATCCAACGCGGGAGAAAATTCTTGTCCCTAGAATTGAGATAGTTGGGAGAGTTGAAAGATGTATTGGAAAAGGGAGAAAGATTAATAGGAGAAGATAAGAAAGAAGAGAGAATGTGAGCATTCTTGGTTAAAACACACTTAAAATAATGCGTCTTAAAAGACACATGGTCAATCTTTTCTCGTGTGATCACTCATGCCTAGAAAAACTCTCTAACCTAAATATAGTCTCTCTTAGATGATATTACATCCCTCTCATTTTAGATGTCAGTTTCGAGATCTATGACTCACAAATTGTGAATCACAGATTCCTAAACCGACATTTAAAATGAGAAAGATGGAGTATTACAAATTGATGGACCTTTTTTTTAACTTAAATACAACAAAATCATTTTTCCTCTTTTTTAAAATTTTTTAAACTAACAGTACTAATATCTTCCACCCAACCCAAGACCTAAGGCCGATCGGCCGAGCGTTTGAGTCTGACCGTGAAGCACCCTCCTATAACTGTAATAAAGATCCCGATGAAAGAAGTCCAAATAATGAACAAAAATGGAAAAGAAAGTTGGGAGGAAGACTGAAGTTTTCATGAAAGAGGAAATTTTCCAGCTGTGGCTAGTAAGTAGATTCATGATTCATGCTGCAAACCTGACACAAGCAGTCTATTTTGATTATTAGAACTAGAAGCCAATATAATAAGAGTGCTTTTAAGTTCATTCAATGAAGTGTTGTTGATTATATTCTCAGATTTCTTTAATTTTTATTATTAAATCTGTTTGCTCCACTTTTTAAAGTCCCCCCATCAACAAAGGGAGAAAAATTTGGTTGGTACAATTTGCATATCAAATCGTTCATTGCTGCACCACGGATGATTTGAATAGGCACACCAAAACTTTTTTCCTTTATAGGGAAGAAGAACCTTAAGAAAGAGGGAATATCTAGCTATCTTTCGACAACCACGTGATCGCTGGGGTTGATCTTATTTTGACCATTATGGATGTAGTTTGACTATCACAACACAAACACACTTTGGACACTTCTTTGGGTCCTAGCGACGGGCGCGCCGTCTTTATTGGATTAGTTTGGAATCATTCTAATAGAATTAGAAACGAAATTAAAATGATAGTTTAAAACCTTCAATACCCTAAACTCATCTCAAGTAATAATTACTGTAATATATAAAAAATATTCTTTTATTAGTTATAATTTTTCTTTTTAATTTATTTATTATGATAATTTTAAATTGTAACATTATTATTATTGATGGTTAAATATTTGATTATACTAATTTTTTTTTTTTGTTCAAGTTTAAATTATTTTTCTTAAAAAATATACGGGCACCGTGATCTCGTCCCGTCTCCAACACAAAGCATCCCGAATGGAGTTTGAGAAAAAAAATTCATTTGTGGGATGTGTTTGGAAAAGAAGTGGCTGGTTAACATCATTACTAGTCTCTATTCTAGACTTGTAATTGTAAAAGTGGTTAAACAGAACATACTTTATCCAGTGACCTAGTTAATAAAACGCCCAGCTCTCGAACAGGTGTGCTTATATTCGAATTTTCCACCCCATAATTTGTCCCAAAAAAAAAAAAAAATCAATCACAACAATAGTCTTAAATTAGAATCAAATGAATAGTACTATTCAAGTAAGTAGTTGTTGGCTTGTTTGTTAAATTTTCCAATGGCACCATCTTCATGTTTCACGTGGTTTAGAAAGGAAAGTTTGCACACAATAACTGAACAGCAACCGTTGCTAGTAAACTCTTACCAGAATTATGTTTTTATTCTCACAAGATGCTATTTTTTGTAACTGAATATACGGTAGGCAGCTGTTTTTATTCGCAATGTTACAACAATGCTTTAAATTTGGGAACTGTTAATTACTTTGTATAAAAAGTGGTAACAAAAAAAAAAAAAAAAAAAAAAAAAATCTATATTTTCTTATATGGTAAGTTAGTCACAAACATACACTGGCACTCATATCCTCATCCTTGAAATTTTCTTGAAGTAGAGTCAGATCTAACAATTTTTACAGGTCAATCCAACAACCCTTTTGCCTGCGGAGGACACACCAAGGAAACAAAGAAAACATGGTAAATTTGACTCTACTAGAGAAAAAAATTAAGAGTAATGATACACTGAACACTTGTAGTGAATTGTCTAATTGAATAATTTTTAATTAACTAGTTATACAAACTACAACTAAGTGAAAAGTTTTACTTTTTTATATATTATATAATTGACCCAATTAGAAGAGTAGAAATCAATTTTCAAAAATTAATAAGATACAATGAATTTTCATTAGTCATTTCCCTGGATGTTTTGTGAATTAATGTGAAGAAAAAATCTGAAGCCGCGTGGTCCTTTGAAAGCTGCTTGGCCATGTGGTGAGTCACTATGTTATTAGGATAATAGATTTCTCAAATTCAATTCATATTTTATGGCAAAAAAAAAAATTTATAATGTTGAGCGAAATTGTAATCATTGTTCACCAAGGAGTTGAGGTTTGGGTTATATAAATAGTTATGTAGGTCTGATTGGAGAAGCATGCAGCTCATAAGGGTAACCTCGCGAGGTATGATTATAATGGGTAGAGAGAGCTTACATGTAATACTTCTAATTTTCAAAGGATATGTTTGGGATTTAATTATTTATTATCTTACATTTTAATTTATTATTTGATGACGTGGCTAATTATTTATGTGTTTATTTGTTTGTTTAAATTAATTATGTGTTTAAATTGTGTATTTAATTATGAATTTGTATTATTTGTTTGTTTAAATGAAGTGTGTTATTTGTAATTAATTATTAGGAATAATTGCTTTATTTATTTTATTATTGTTTTTTTAACGGATTGGATCTGGATAGTAATAATGAACCAATCCAATGAGTCACATGGACTATTTGAATAGGAGTCATGGGTATGAATAATTACCCATAGATATTAGTTGTATATATATAAGGATATATATATATATATACACGTTTAACAGATGACTTATATGTATATATTTAGTTTCTTTTTCTATTTTTTTCCCTTAAGGCAGGGAAGTTGGGGAAGGATTAAGAGTAGGGTTTTATATGTAATATATATCTATGTATTATAGGTCTGCTAGGGGTTTTGGTATTTACGTGCATATATTAAAGGAGGGAAAAGAGATATAAAGAGAGAGAAAAGAAAGATAACCAGAGAGAAGGAAGGAGGGATTTGGCCAAGGAAGAAGGTTGAACAAAGATGAGAGGAGAGGGTTGTTCGTGGACTAGGACCGAGCAGCAAAGGGCAGTGAAGGCAACCCAAGGGTCGCCAGAATCAGAGAAGAAAGCAGAGAAGAAGATTTGGGTAATCTGAAAACCTTAAGGCAAGTTCGTCTTATATTCTTCTCTTTTGACTATGTGTTTTGTACATGTCTAGATCAATTTCACGATATTTAATTTGAATTAATAAACCTCTTTCCATGTTAAAATCGAATTAAAATAGTGTATGTTTATATGTATATGGGTTTGTATAGAATTTGCATGATTTGATGATTTGATGCATGGTTTGTGTTTTAAGTTGATGTAATGATGTTTAAAAACTCTAAAATAAATATTAGGACACTCTGGGACGTAGAACTGATGCATAGGAACCGTAACAATGGAGTTTGAAGGGAGCAGAGGACGCCGGAACCGGAGAAAATGAACTGCCGCAGGAATCGGTCGACCGGTGTGGAGAAACGGTCAACCAAGTTGGCCAAACGGACAACCGATTAAGGACATCGGTCAACCAGTTTGAGGAAACCGCACGACCGGTTTAGGTAATGATGTACACACAAATTTCATAATCTGCAAATAAAAAAATGAAATAGAGAGCAAATAATAATTTATTAATTTATGAAAATTCGAACACAATCCTCTGAGATATTCTTTACAAAATAAAAAAAATATCCTCTGATTTGATCTCCTTTATTGGTTGGATCCAAGGACTGTTGGAGCTTGATCTTGAATCGGGCTATTGACAATTTTCTTCAAGTATTTGTAATTAAGGAAGATCGCCGATGATATCTGATCAAGGGCTGGCAAAGCTTGATCTCGAACAATGTTGTTTGATAATTCTTCAAACTTATTGAATCACAAGGAAATAACGGCACGATTTTGATGTGCTTGTTCTTTTTTGTTGAATTTGAGGAAGAACGGCACGACTTTAGATTGAATCACCTTCAGAGAATTTGTTGAATTTGGTGAAAAATGGCACGGCTTTGGTTGTGCTTACTGTTGATCACTGTGGAATGTTGATGAAGAATGACACGATTTGATATGCTTGTTGTTGATCACTGTTGAATGTTGATGAAGAATGACACGATTTGATGTGCTTGTTGTTGATCACCGTTGAATGTTGATGAAGAACGGCACGATTTGATGTGCTTGTTGTTGATCGCCGTTGAATGTTGATGAAGAACGACACGATTTGATGTGCTTGTTGTTGATCGCCGTTGAATGTTGATGAAGAACGACACGATTTGATGTGCTTGTTGTTGATCGCCGTTGAATGTTGATGAAGAACGACACGATTTGATGTGCTTGTTGTTGATCGCCGTT